ATGCTGCCTAGAAAATTATGAATTTAGGGATATGGCTAGAACATATATGCAAAAATACTACCTCTGAATTATGAGATTTTTCTGAATTATGAATCTTTTTCTCTTATGCAGATCTTTTTTAATTCACATTTTATATTTTTTCCTGAAATAAAAGTTTTCCAATGTTTTTATTTTACTAACATAAGAAAGAAGGAAAACAGAAAATAGAAAAAAAGTAAAAGAGCCATGCTATTTTTCTGTGAAAATGGAGCAGGGAAACCTTGGTATCTGTAAACAACGTTGGATTAAGCCAAAAAGTTTATCTGAGTTTTTCATCTGTGTCACTGAAATCTTCTCTCTTACATTTTCTTAATCTTGCTTTTATGAAAATGCATTTGAAATATATAAACACAAATACTTTTATTCATTCTTCTGAAGATATATTCGTGGACTTGACTAGTGGCTGAAAGGAAAGTGCAGATGTCTTCACGCTGCTAGGCTCAAGGCATTTTGTACTTGTAAATGCCCTATCTTTAATCTCTAATTGCATTAAATTTCTGTGTCTGACTCATGAGGAAAGGAAGCTTCAAAGCAGAAACAGAAAAATCCAATTTATCTCTAAATATAATAACCATTGATATATTTCAAACAATGTAACACCTATGTTCCAAGTGTCCTAACCAGAAAAATTAAGAGCTCAAGGATGTGCTGGTTAAATAACAAAAATGTTTTTATTTATTATAGATCTCTTTTCCCCAAAGAGATTTAGCAATGTGCTAAAATTCGGTAATTTGTATAATAGCTCTCTGATTGGGATAAAGGGAAGAGACTATTACTGTTTTTATTCATCCAGTAAGCATTTATTGAACAATTACTTTGTTTATGAGTCTGAACTTAATGTTCTACTTCCTGTTTCCTCTGTTTAGAAGATGTTTCTTTTTTCATAAATTTCTGTCAACAGCTATTGGATAAGACTCAAAATAAAAATAATGCAAAAATAGAAGTTTATCTCTGGGTTCTGGTTCTCTTGTCTTCTCATAATGAATTATATGGAATTTGTAATTCATGTACATATTCACCCCTTGTCCTGTATGCCAGTTCTAGAAGTGTCTCTCAGTCCCTCACAATATACTTTTCATTGACTTCACCTCTTGCCTTTCCCAGGTAAAATGACCTGTGATCGAGCTTTGAGGAAGCAGCAACAGTTAAACAACCTTGTGTATGTGGTGACAAATCAAGCCAAACCTGGTGACAGAATTGTGGATTTCTGCAGCGGTGGGGTATTATACCTTTTGTATTCTCTTTAGCCTTTCCAAGACTATGTGGCTTTACTATATTACATTCAAGGTCGTGCTTTTATTTGGAAAGACTGTTGTCTCAGACTGAGCACAAAGCCTCAGGGACTAACGTGAACTCATTTCTTTTTCTGCCTCTTTCAGGGCCATGTTGGGATTGTGCTTGCTTACACACTGCCATCATGCCAGGTACAGTCTGAATAATAGATAAAAGGAAACATTGGAAAGCCACATGATTCAGTGAGCTGAGTCTGGCTTATCCTTTCTCTTTGAGTTTATAATCATTCACCCAGGTCAAATATCTGGCACAGGCCTTTTCTTTTTTCTTTGAACTAAACTTCTAAGATTCCGAATCTTAAGGAAACAGGGTATAGTAGGATCACAATAATTTTCAACTTTTATAAAAGGGTTATATTTTAAAATAGTTTTAAAAATAACTATTCCGTTGTTAAATAAAATAATGATAAAACTAGTTTAATAGTCAACATAATTTTATACTGGAAATACTAGCTTCTGAAACTTACTGAGCATATTCTTTTGGTATCTTGACTTTCATCCAGTGTACCAAAATTGTAACAACAGTAACAGAAATCTCTAAAGAAAAATATAAATTCCAATCGACCACACTGATTCATCAAATGATTTCTCCCCATGTTCTCATTAAGTCATTGTCCATGAGGATGCTTGTTACAAATTCTAAAAGTGCAAATACAATTTTTGTCCCCTGTTTTCATTCAATATTATATCATAAATGATTTTCCCTATTGCAAATAGTTTTAAATATTGTCATTTAAATATCACTAACGTGTGACTACATGATATGATTTTAAGGGAATGTACCATAGTTTATGCAATCGTTACCACCATTTATTAGAAGTCTGTGCTATTTTTAGTCTTCTGCCACATTAAATCATTTCCTCGCAATGACTATCTTTTAACAGAAAAGTCTAGAATTTGATGTCATTTTTCAAAAAATACAGTTGAACTGAGGTAGAGATTTTTGCTTGTCTGCTCTCTGGAAGGTGCAAAATAATTACAGTGATTACCCCACTCCCAGAAGAAAAAAATGTGGTCGAACTCATAGACTGGCAAGAACGACGTGTAACAAAATGGGGGCAGTTAGGGGGATGGCAGTCTTCTTTTTTCTTTCTTAGAAAATAAAGAGCAGAATAAATAGGGACTCCTGGGAGAAACAGGAGACTGTATTATTATGAAGGAAAGCAGTGATTTCATGGTTGGAATAAGAGGAAAACAACTCCTAGAGGAGAATCCTGGAGAAAGAGTCAGGGACAGGGTGTGTTTTTTCCTCTTCCTAACTGTTCTGGAAACAGACATTGTAACTGGAAAAGGGAAGCCTTGGCCAGAGTAAAAGCTGGGAAGCTTCTGACACAAAGTGTTCTCTGACAGGCTTCTCATACAGACGGATCCAGGATTTGTCCATAAAGACAAGAACAAAAGGAAGATAGAACTAAGAATAATAATGATAAAAGTGACTGAATTCTGCCCAATTTTCTCCTCCCAAACCCAACGTTCCTCTCCATCTCTTTGGCCTGGGTTACTGTGAGAGACCCCTACCTGGTTGCGCT